CCCAACCTCCGACATCGGGCCCCAGGACCTCATCAGCAGCCTCCAGGGCCACGGGCACCGCTTTCGACGAGAGGGGGGACCGCTCCTCCGATCGGTCGGCGAAGACCGCCGTCGCTTTCCAACGCTGAAAGGTGGAGGGCCCGCAGACACGCCTGCTACCTGTCTGGAGCTGGGCAAGGGATGCGGGCGTTTTAGCATACAGGTTGCACACACTACAACGCCACTCGCCGAGCGCAGGAAAGTGGAACAGCGTGTGCTCCGACAGAGCCAGGGAGTCCTTAGTTCTCCTGCTTGGGGTCGGGCGCACGGGCACAGACGCAGACGGGGCCGAGAGCTCCTGGGCCAGCCCCGCGATCGCCTGCGACATTCTAGCCAGCAAATCAAATGTGAGCTCGGTGTCCTTTATACTCGCAGCCTGCCACTTCACAAGGGCGTCCGAGACTGCATGGGACTCCGAGCCTGACCTAGCAAAGTAATCAGCCCAGAGATTACTGAGGATATTCATTACATTGTTCGGCGTGGCGACGCTAACGACATCGTCCCATTCACGGTGGGCGGGGGTCCACTCAAAACTTGGAATCAAGTCGCTGTCGCCATACAAGCCGAAGATCAATCTTCACACATTCGCGTGCTTCGCGCCACTCGAGGCCAGCTCCACGCCCCACGAAGAACCTTCGCGCACGGCACTCAAGTGGTCGGAAACAACATGGGCGTCCAATGGGGCCAACGCGAAGCGCCGGGCAAATCGCAAACCGTTCGGCCCTGGGCACCGACTGGTAGCGCCCTGGGAGACCGCCGTAGACGGCGCGAAGCGGGGGCCCACTGGGCCCCAACTCAACCGCGGACCAACCACACCGTCGCAGTTCGGGACTGGCGCTGGCCAGTCCTGAACCATCGGTGTAGATGATCTCCCCCTAAGGCGCTTCGGTTGCCCCCCAGGAGGAGCACGTCGGGGGCGGGGCTGAGGGGGAAAGCGACCCAAGGGAGCCCATAGAGGACCTCGACGGAATCCCAGCACTGCACCCCCTCTCTAAACTCCCCTTTGCCCCGAAGCTCAGGACCTGCGCTCCAGGACGTCGCTTGGAATTACTTCATGTTGCTTGCCGGGGAAATCCAGCACAGGATCGCAATCATATATCTGATGGCCGAGAGAACCCACAACCTGTTTGTCGCAGAAGGTGCACACAATGCTGCTTGCATAGCCAGCTTCAAATTTGCGCTGGGGAGGCCACATCGCGCGCCCTATCAGGCATCGGAGGGCCCCTCTGCGCGCGGCATCTCGGACGCCGAGGACTCCGATGCGCAACGAGCGGAGCCAGAGCATCTCTCCGCCCGAGGCTTCGGGCAGGTGCTTCAAAATGCACCTGGCTTGCCAGCGCTGGATACCTGCCTGAAGCTCGAGCCTCAAGTCGCGAGGCGAACAACGCAACAGGTTGAAGGCCACGCCTTCGTCTGAAGTAATGACGCGCACTGCCGACATGGAACAGGCGACGCGCTGAAGCGAGAGGAGCGCCGCGCTGACTGGGCCACGACGCGGATTCCAAGTGGGCTTGTCAAAAATCTGGTCACTTACACGCATCCACGCTCACTGCAGACGACCTAACGAGAATCGAGCGTCCCATATCATGCCGGCGTATCGCATCGAATACATGGTCGTAGAACGGATCGACCAACGTGGCCAGCCAAGCTGTGAGAGACCCAGAGCGTTTGGCACCTACGAGAGAGCCAGCCAGTGTGCGCAGCGCCTTCAAAGATGGGTCGGTGAGCCCGCTAACTCCTGCGCCGTGGCCTGCTGCTGGCATCGAGCCAGTCCTCCAGCGCAGCTGTACCTTCCCTGGAGCTCCGCGGCGCAACTCAGCAAGCTTGGGACGGCGACGCAATACTTTCTTGAGCCGAGCTCTCTCTTGGGCCCTTTGAGGCCTTCCAAAGAAAACTGCATGGCCCAGGTTACGCATATGGGTGTAGCTCCGCAGTTTGAGGACACGAGCCGACGACGACACTCTGGGCGACGCTGTAGCTGCGGTGGCTACAAGCCCACTCTTGAGAACCTGCAGGATCAGGCCAAAAGAAAAAAATGATGGCAATGCCACCGCACCGCGGCGAGTAGCACGCCGCACTCGCACAGCCGCCTACCTACCCACTGGAAGCTTGAGTCATCCATGAGGATTCGCGGCTGCACAGTTCAATAAAGTCTGCACATGTTGGTGGCCACACGGTGGAAAAGCAGATGCCTCATCGTGTTAGCGTGGCTGCAGCCAACTTGTATCCCTTGGTGCGCGACGGCGCAGCGAGACACGGAACCGAACGCCTGCGCGAGACGAGGACACCGATACAGTGAGAGGAGCATCCACATCATTCTCAAGGGATACGCTAGCTCACAAGCCTCTGTTAAAAGCCGAGAGACAATGATGCATCCATACCATTTAAACATATCAAAGAACAGGCTTACCGAGTACTCCCCCGCCGCCGTAGCCACCTCCACCTCCACATTATGATCGAAGGCCGCGTCCGTAGAGCTGGCCCTTGGACCGTGGCCCCAGAACGATGGGTGTCGGTGGAAACGTTCCCAGTCTAGCGAGACTGGCTTCCTAATCTTGCCCTACAGACGCAGCAGCGAATGGAGGAGAGCAATGAGGCGGCGTCTGCCTGTCGGCTTGCCGAGCCGAATCAGGCGAGTGTGGATGCGATCTAAAGGCCAGGAGCTCAGCCTCTCACATGCCATGAAGGGGGGCGCGAGGACCTCCAGGCCTTCGTCGGACACCTGGTTCAGCGCCTTCGGGTTGAACGCAAGCTGGCCCAGCGCTGCACGCGTCGGGAACGACGCTGCAGCAAGACGGATGTTGGCGACAGTGATTGGCGGTAAGCTGTCCCACGTGTCAGCACCTTGGGGTAGCGGGACTGCGGTGCGCCCGTGCATGCTCCAGATCTTGTCTCATTCGCCAATGCAATCATCTGCTCGCTGGAAGGGCTGGGGCCTGGTGTCTGCAGCTGCATGTTCCTGGATCTCCTTGAGCCTGGAAAACCTATGCGCTGCCCCTGCCCCACTAGTGAAAAAAACTTATCCGCCCAGGCCGACCACTCTTCACTAGAGACGGTCAGCCACTCCAGAATCTTGGCCCTGGCGAGGTCGATCAAGGATAGAACCACCTGGTCGAAGTTGGGGTCGGCGATGCTAGACGGCACGTCGGACATGAAGGCCTTGGCTTCAGGTGCCACGCGCTCGAGCACCCACTGGGTCTTGGCCACTCTGCGCGCGAAGCCGTGCAGGAAGTGCAACTGCTTGGACATGGCCGCGCGGTTGCGCTCGAAGCCGCCGTCGTAGAGGCTGGCCACTTGCGACAGCAGCTTGACTCGAGCCGATCGCAGATACCGAAGCCATCTCGCCAAGGTCTTCCAAGCATTGAGGTCGGACGGCTTGTTTGGCTTCGGCGCCTTGGCCCCCTTCCAAACGCACTGAGGTGGGCCAGCCCTTTCAAGATGAACCTTTCGAGCAGAACTCTCCAACGCATCATTGCGATCCATTACTTCGGCTTCTAGACCAGTGAGAACAGAACCCCAGCACGCTGCAATATCATCAGGAGGCCGGGCATTTTCACACATATTGTTGATCATGCGCCATTCAGCAACTGGGGGGAAACGACCGCGCCCCAACCTTGGGCGCGACAGGAAGTGTTCGAGGCTCGAATGGAACTGCGCAGCACATGCTCCCTGGCTGGGTGGCAATGCCCAGCTCGACAGGGCGGTGCGGAAACAGGTCGGTGCCCACATGGACGTCGACTTCCAAGAGCAGTGGCACCAGGCTCTCCGACACGTAGACGAAGTCCCTGGTTGTACCTGGCATGGCCAGGATGCACGTTGGCAGATCGGCGGCGATCCTGATCCCGTTGACGGCGTGGAACCACACGTCCACGTCGTCGCAGTCGGTGTTCCAGTCCCCTCCGATGATCCAGTGCTCGTTCAGGGCGTTGAGCTGGTGCAGGTACTTCGCCACTGCGTCGAAAATACAAGCGTTCCCCCCTGAACGCCAGCGTCGGCCACCAGATATGCGGATAGCATCACGATGCCGTTGGGCCGCCCCCAGTGCACCTTGGCCGCTGCAACTCTGCCAGGGTGCACTTCGTGAGGGAGTCCAGCAGGAGGGGCGGCGACCAGCACGCTGCTCGGGCTCAGGATGGCTACCCCGCCCGACGTGCCGCCTCGCTCGGTCGGCGTCGCAGGGGCCCATGCACCACTGAACCCTTTGCCAGCAGCCTGGGCCTGGATGTCGGCCAGCCTGCCCCCCAGCGCATGGTGTTCCTGAATTAACAGAATCGTTTTATCATACTGAGTGGTGCCAAGCAGGTCGATGAAAGGGCCGTAGGACGACGTGTTCGCAGTGACCACATATCCTTTGACCTCATCTGCAGCCGACCTCGAAGCATCAGGTTCGTCATTGGAACGTTCTGACACTCCACTACGATGGGGAGGGCGCGAACGTCGCGCAGGCGGTGCTCGCCCCACCTCCGACACGCCCCCAGCACCCACCGCACGTGGCAATTCCCGGGCTCGTCGGGCAAAGGGTTCGGACGAGGGGCCTGCGTCGTCATCAGCAGGCCCTGCAGGCGTCAGCCCAGGTCCCGTCCACGGTGATGTGTAGTCGGGCAGTCTGACTGGGAAATGGCTCGCTGAGGCTGGGCACAGCCAAGCCGCTAGCACCCATCTGAACAGACTACTCAGTCCTGGCCTTCTTCTGGTACGAGCCGAGCTCGCCCCCGAGCCTCTTGATGGCTGCGCGGAGCTGGGCCTCGCCTCCAGGGGGCTCGCCTCCGAAGGCCTCCAGCCAGAAGGTCTGAAGGTTCGGCAGGTCATCACCGTCATCAGGAGCGCATGGACCGCTAGGAGCATCATCTGCGGGGACCTCAGGTGGCTGCTGCTGAGGCTGCGGTGCCCCCCCCCCCCCCCCCTGTGCTGGCAGCGGCGGCAGCGGCCGCGGTGCGCTCGGCGGCTGCACGCTCGGCGGCCGCGCGCCCCAACTTGCGCAGCTCCTCGAAATTCTTCGAGGCGCTCTCGGCAAGGCTGCCGTCGGCGCCGAGCCCCTGGAGGAGCTGGCCGAGCGCGCCGACGTCCATGTCGAGGCACGGGATCGCAGCGCGGAGAGAGTGGACCCCTGGCTTGGGCAGGGGCGCCTGCGAGGCCGCTGCAGCCCGCACGGCCTCCACCACCGCGAGCTCGCGGCTGGTAGCCTCCACGGCTGCCTCCGCCTCGGCGATCTGCTTCTGGACAGCGGCCAGCTCCTCCTTGAGCTTGCCGACTGCATTCTGCTGGCGATCCCGCCCGGTGCAGCTTGGCCCCGATCGGCTTGTCGGGCAGCATCTTCGCCCGAAGGGTGGCTTGCTGCTGGACCATGTCCTGTTTCGCCTTGACCAGGATGGGATCAGAAGGGCTCCCGATCGCCTGGGTCGCCGCGGCCAGCTCGGCCAGCGCCGCCTGGGCATCTGGCTCGGTGGGCTCCGCGTCGACGTCCATGGCGTCTGGCTGTCCGCGCTTGGCTGCCAGCTGCTCTTTGAGCCTGGCGATCTCACGGCCCTTCTCCTGCAAGGCGGACTTGGAACGCTCTGCCTCGGCAGCAGCCTTGCGCTCCATGTTGGCCTTCTGCTTGCCCGAGACCGAAGGCGACCCGCTGCCTCCAGGTGGAGGCATCGGGCCGAAGAAGACCAGGCCCTTGGGCTGCGCGCAGGACCCGCACTCCTTCTTGTCTGCATGGTTCCACCAGCGCTGTCCTGTGGACGGGTGGGTGCACCACTTGCACAGCCACTGTTGCGCCAGCTCCTGGCGCTTCTGCGAGTGGCCATTCGGCGGTGCCATGAAAGCGGGAGGCCCGCGGAAGAGGATGGCGGTCTGGCCGCAGTCGTCGTTGCACAGATTGGCCCGTGCCCACGCGCCGTTTCGAAGACGTGGGACACAAGCTCAAGATGTTTCACTCAATTCAACTCGAGCCGAAACGGCTGAGGTGCTTGAGCCAAAATGGCTACGGAGAGGAGGAGGAGGAGGAGGAGGAGGAGGAGGAGGGCAGGGGTGGGGACGGGCGTGCTCCCAACTGTTCCATGATATTTTTTTGGGGGGGTCTTTCCCCTCCCGATCGGTTCTTGATCTGACGTACGGATTGGTTTTCTTTCACCTCCTTCGAGTCCGAGTGGATCGACTCTGGGGCGGAGCTTCACTGTCGAGTGCCCTTCGAGCGTTCGTCGCCGTCATTCCCCTCTGCTTTCCTCCTCCTTCTCCCCAAACTTCGCTGAATAGAGAAGCTGTTCCATAGTAACTGGTCATGAGCGTAATTCAGCCAGTGCTATGCTGCATCCTCGGGGGAATTTGGCCGTCGCGTCGCGGCTCCGTTCGCGTCGGATACGTGTCGAATCCATGGCGGCCTCGTCATTCGTGTCGACTCCGTGTCGAATCCACGCCAAATGTGCGTCGAGCCCGCATCGAGCCAGCGTCGGGCACAAGAGAAGGCACGAATTTTGGGCTGGTGATCCCCCCCGTAGCATTGTGAATAAGCGGTGATATGTCGTCGCCGCCACTGGCGCCGTCCCAGGGCGGGCACGGCGCCCGTTTTCGAGTGCCGCGCGCAAGTCTGCACCGCTGGGCGGTCGAGGTCGGCCTTGGGAGGCGCCGTGGGAGGCACCCGTGCGAGCGGAAGAGAAACGACTCGAGCAAGCTGGACCGAAGGCGCTTCGCAAACCCACGCATCTGGCGCCTCGAAGCAAGGCCGAGGCAGTCGGTTCGCCGCCGTGTTTGGCATCTGGAGGCCTGGTTCGGGCACATCGGGGCCGTCGAAAAACTACCCTGCACGAGCAGAGAATGCACTGGGTATGGGTCGAGAAGTTCGGGGCCGCAGGCATCGGACAATCCGGCGCGCGCAACAGAGAGGAAATGGCCCACTCTGCAGGCTCGGCAGACAGCACATCGCTGGTGGAAATGTTGCTGCGGTCTCCCCCGAGCGCAGCCCGGGGGGCCACACTGAGATGCCGATACCGCTACTCCACGGACCCTGAGTCACCTATCTGCGCGCATGACGCCCCACGGTGTGGGACGCGCGCCTACCTCCAGGTCGGGCATGTCCCCCTACAGGCGGATTTTGGGCGACAAATAATCCAAACATAATCAGAAGTAGCCCAGAAAAAAATCGAAGCATCGTCCCCATACGATTTTTGTTACTGTTTTTCAATTTCCCTCCTGTGGAGGGACATGCCCGACCGAAACCTAACTGCGCGCAGCACGCCACACGATGTGAGACGCGCGGCTATCTTCCCGGCCTCGCGGCCTCGCACCGCTCCCTCTGAGAAGCGCAGCGGCTACGAACCTATCGACCACGACGCGCCAAGCGCGGTTCTCCTCGCACCCCCCAGGGGTAACTTCGAGAGACCCCTCCGGCGGTCTGAGGGGCAACGATAGGGGGGGACTGGCATAGGGGGGGATGCATCGACCTGGAATCGGCGGTACATCGCCGATAGATCGCCGATAGGCCTCCGATAGTGAATCCGCACCTTCCTGGCCAGGTTGGGGCTATCGGGCCCCTATCGGAGATTAATGGGCGATTGAGGGGCGATGCATCCCCCCTATGCCTATCCCCCCCTATCGTTGCCCCCGACGTTCTGGCCAGGCCTTCGAAGCGAATCCCGCCGTTGCTGCGAGCCAAGCGCACGCTACGTCAGGTTCGTGTCGTGCCGGCTTCGGCGTTAGTTTCTGACACCACGGGGGTCGTTTAACCTTGAACGATCGGCCGTTTCCGAAACGCCCAAATCGCTCCACAACGAACGATTCTGGGTCCGTTCAGCGTTGAACGCCGCCGGCGGGGTCGCCGCCGGTGTGCCGTAACATGGATCAGGGATCCGCAGATCTGGCGCGTGGGCGCCGGATACATCCGCGGATCGGAGAAGGCACCTCTCCCGAAGCATGGAGCCCAAGCCGCCCGATATCCGGCGACGGAGCGCCCCCCCGATTCTGCACGGAGGAAGACAGAGCCGGTCGCGAGTCCGCGCGATCTGGCCCTCGTTTTCGCTGCCTCGAGCAAGGGAGGAGGAGGAGGAGGAGGAGGAGGAGGAGGAGGAGGAGGAGGAGGAGGAGGAGGAGGAGGAGGAGGAGGAGGGGGAGGAGGACGCGCAACGGCCTCCTCTCGGGGGGGGGGACGACAGGGCCGGACAGCAACGGGTAGGGTGGAGAAATTCGGCTCACGTCGCTGGTTTCCCTGGCGCCTCCGGGCGCCGAGAGGCGCTCGTGCATCGAGGAACGGGCCAGGCGGCGGGGCCGAAACAGGCTGCACGCAGCAGATTTCGCGCCCTCCCCCTGAGCAGGGGCATTCCTGCAGGGCTGCCGCGACATGCTCTTAGAACCCACACATTTTCTAAGAACAAACAACCATGCTGTTAGAACATAAGCCCGATGTGGCAAAACAGGACCATCTCGGCCAGACATGTTCTGAGAACATGTCGTGCAGATCACAAGAAGTTCTTAGAACACTCTTTGGTGGGCATATAGGCAAGCCAGGACGCCTCGCCACTGCTTGCCCCCTGTCCCTCAGGGATCTGCAGCTGACCCGGGTCATTCTAGACATGCAGGATCCTGTAGGATCCTGCAGGATCCTGCACCCAAGCCAAGGTCAATGCGACCCTGGCCCCGCAAGATCCTTCAAAATCCGGCAGGATCCTGCACCCAAGCCCGGGCCAATGCGACCCTGGAGCTGCAGGAGCTTGCAAGACTCGGCGCTCTGGCTGACCCCCGTTTGCATTGACCCCCGTCTCTTGAGCCCCCTGTCCCCAAATATCCTGCCCTTTCGTCCGGCACGATCTTCGGACGGCCAGTCCCCCCCCCTCCCCGAGGAGGGCGACGGCGGCCATCGCCCCGCCCGCGCACGCGCAAGCGCGGCCGACTGGGCTGCCGACTCACGGAGGGGTATCGTCGGGCGTTCGCAACGGGGGGGACCGGCGCGGGGAGGGGGAAGCATTGTGGATGCCTTGATCATGGACACCCTAACAATCCGATCATTGAATTAAGAAGGTGTTGAAAATGCTTGAAACATGTCATAACAATGTTTCTGTACACGATATGTTCATGCTGAAGACATGTCCAACACATGTTTTAGATATCTGGGAATTACTTGGCAACATGATTCCTCTCCGCTGATCGTCGCCCACAGGGGAAGCATCGAGCTGTTCTGGAGTGATTTCTGATCCGAATTTCGACGCGGATCTGGTCGTGGCGGCGATGCCCCCCCCCTTTGGGGCCCACAGGAAGGCGGGCAAAGAGCAAAGACGCCCCCCAAAAGACCCGAGCCCAGAAGCTCGAAAGATAGAGAAGCGCCAATCGTCCTCAATCCCGCCGACCCCTCGCCTGAAGGGCAACCGTAGGGGGGACTGGCACAGAGGTGAAACCGTCTACCTGGACTACGTGGTGCGTCGCCGATAAATCGGCGACAGGCCCCCGACAGGTGTTCCTGGGCGGACTGGGCGATCGGGCCGCACATCGGTGATCTGTGGGCGATGGGGGGTCGACGCGCCCCCCCCCCCGAGCCTACGCATCCCCCGCAGTGGTGCCCCTGACAAAGCGGGGGGGAGAGAACGTGCGCTTTTCCACTACGCCTGCGGACGCGGCCCGCATGGACCTTTCAGCACCCCATCCAGGGCCGCTCTCCAGCAGGCCTCGGTCCCTCTCTCTCGTTCGTTGCCCCCCCCCGCTTCCGAACGCCCGAGATCGACCGAGGGGTTCATTACCGGTCTCTCGCACCAGAACGGCCGCGAGGACGGCCAGCGCGCGCGCCGCCCACGCGCGCAGGCGTGGCAAGGCACGGGGCGCGCCCCATGCCGCTGTTTCCTCATCCTGCTTCCTCTGTATTCTTATTGGTCTGATTGTTCATCTTATTAATTGATAGTATTGTAATTCGCATTTGTATTCGTATTCCTATGGTTGTTTTTCGCGTTCGTGTTGCTATTCTTATTACACCTCATATTATCAGCACTCGTCGCACTATTATTCTGAGTAAAACTATTCCTAATCTATGTTTACTCCAACCAATGATAATATTAGTGTGTTTCGCATTTTTCTTGATATAGCGTGATCATGCTATCATCGTATCAGCATGTTCTTCTCTGTGAGTATTAGTGTCATCGATGTCTCATTGGTACTAGTAGTAGTAGTAGTAGTAGTAGCACTCGTGTCCGTGGTCTTTTTTCTTAGTGTTACCCCGACAACTGTGAAGCAGTCATAGTATTAGCAATATCAGCAGAAGTCTGAATATGAATATTCGAGTTCTGATTTGTATGGGTAGTATTCTGATCATGACAAGAATAATAGTATTGGTATTCCTAGTCGTAGTGGTGGTAGCAGTAGTAGCAGTACTACCACTGCTACTACTACTACTACTACTACTACTAATAGTAGTAGTAGTAGTAGCAGTAGTAGTAGTAAAAGTAGTAGTAGTAGTAGTAGTAGTAGTAGTAAAAGTAGTAGTAGTAGTAGTAGTAGTGATCGTAGAAGAAGTGGTACTAGTAGCTGTAGTAGTGGTAGTAATCGTCATAATCGCAGCGGTAGTAGAAATAGTAATCGTAGTAGTAGCAGTAGTATTAATAGTAGTAGCAACAATAATAGTAGACATAGAATTGGTAGTAGTAGTACTCGTAGTAGTAGTAGTAGTAGTAGTAGTAGTAGTAGCGGTATTAGTAGCAGTAGTACTAGTAGAAGTAGTTGCATTCGTAGTAGTATTAGTAGTAGTAGTAGTAGTAGTAGTAGTAGTAGTAGTAATGATACAAAAGGTAACCATAGTGGTGGCAGTAGTGATCGTATTCGTAAAAGTGTTATTATTGTTAGTATTA